AAATTCTCAATAGATTCAAAAACAAAGACGGGAAGTTCAGCAAAGAACTTGACAGGGACATGAAGGGACGGATGAGTCTCTTTGAAGCTTCTCAGCTGAGTACTCCAGGGGATCACATAGTGGATGATGCCATTGAATTTTGTGAGAGTCTCCTGAAATCCAACTTGATGAATGGAAGTGGACAATCTGATGAGGCAAGAGTAATACGAACAACATTGCACAATCCGTATCACAAAAGCCTGCCAAGACTTCTAAGACAGAATGAAGTTAACAATTTTGAAATTTCGATGAAAAATCTTCACGATTGCTGTGGTATTACTGACTGGATAAAGGAGGTACAATATCTAGCAATGATTGATGTCAACGAGTCTCAAATAATTCACAGAGAAGAAATAATTCAGGTTACAAGGTAATTGCAAAAGAATTTTTGTAACATAGTAATCCAATTCAGACACTAACTTTCTGCTGTATTCTATCAGATGGTGGAAAGAGCTTTGCTTGGCGGAGAGGCTGAAGTTTGCAAGAAATCAACCAGCCAAATGGCATATGTGGTCATTGGTCATTCTCCCAGCCCCCAATATGACAGAGTTAAGGACAGAACTCACAAAAGCAATATCATTCATTTATATCATTGATGATATCTTTGATGTGTATGGATCACTCGAGGAGCTCACTCTCTTCACAGAAGCCGTCAACAGATGGGACTATACCAATATCAAGGGATTACCAGACTGCATGTCAATGTGCCTCAAGGCTCTCTATGACACTACAGATAGCATAAGCGCCAAAGTATACAATAAACATGGATAGAACCCCAGAGACTGTCTTAGAAAAGCGGTATGTAAGCAGAATCTGTTAACGAGTAAGAACTGATTGTTGACAGCAAGTCTGGATAAGGAAATCAATTAATCCTTAACTGGATGGTTTATATGTTGTTTCAGTGGGCCGAGTTATGTAATGCTTTCCTATTGGAGATGAGATGGTTTTCTTTGGGATACTTGCCTACCACTGAGGAGTATTTGGAGAATGGAAAAATTAGTTCAGGAGTCTATGTTGTTTATGCAAACGTCTTCTCTCTCTTAGGTGAAGCTGTAAACCATAGAAGCACAAACCTATTCAACAGCCATCACAGCATTGTATCTTCAGCGGCTGAAATTCTTCGACTCTGGGACGATTTAGGGACTTCTAAGGTACTCACTCTGGTTGCTGGATTCCTTTTCTAGTTTAGGTGCTGAGAATATTTCTAACTGCCTGTATAACTAATAGCAATTTCTACAGTTGACACCCTACGTACCAAGCTCGAATCCTAATTGAACCATAAAACTCAAACGGAAAAAGACAGTGGCAGAAGTTATCATTGTATATGGAATTGAAAGGCTAATTTTCATTACTTGTAATTTCAATCTTATTCTGCAGGACGAGAACCAAGATGGGTATGACGGGTCATTTATAGAATGCTACATGAACCAATATAAAGGTAGCTCAGCTGAAAGTGCACACGAATGTGTTCATTTGATGATTTCAGATGCCTGGAAGTGCCTCAATAAGGAATGCCTGTCTCATTCTCCAATTTCAGCAGAATTCAAGGTTGCTTTCCTTAATTTAGCAAGGATGATTCCAATAATGTACAACTACGATGAGAATCAACGTCTTCCAAGCCTAGAGAAACACATGAAGTCAGTGCTTCATGTGCAATAGAGCATAGATATCCTATTACGACAATATTGCACGGTGTTGTCTTGTACATTTTCGTGGCCCAAAGCGAAAACTAAATAAGGGCCTCAAAACTATGGAGTCGTATATCATAAATAATACATTTATCGACAAAATTTTCATGAATTTTATGTTACAAAGTTCATCAAAATTATAAATAAATGATAGTCATTTGAGATTTGACCAACTCTTCTTTCTATTTTTTTTCATTTTAATCTTTTCACAACCCAACTAGGCACCAAACCCTTTACTCTTATTGTTCATGATTTTAAAAGAAAAAAAGAACTTATGAAAAGTAAAGTGAAGAAATTTAAGAGACAAAATTATAAAAATTGGGAGGTAGTGAGAAATTGGAAAGTAAATAAAAATTGGGAAGTGATTATCATTCAATTAAGATACCACCCAAAAAGTTCTCCAAGGTTAGCAAATAATTCTGGTCTCGATCAATTTAAATGCTAAAATTCATAGAGGAATGATTATAAAACTACAAACACAATTATAAACTACTAAGTCATGAAACAATCGAAAATCAAACATTCTAATTAAGCATTATACTACTAGTTCAAGTAAAATGACCACCAAAAGGAAAAGCTGTAGCACATCAAGCACTGTAAAGAAGATGGAGAATCAGTAGCACATCAAGCACTGTAAAGAAGATGGAGAATCAGTTTCAGTACTCACAAAATAGCCACGGCAAGGTGCTAACTTCACGGCGAGTTGTTCTGTTCTTGCTTCTCTGTGTTATCTGACGGCATCACCAAATCATATTGAACAAAGCTATTGGACTTCCCTAGCTCTACAAGTTCCTCAGCTTCTTGAATCTTCGATTCCTTCACCAACCCATTGACAACAAGCTGCAACAGAGCCTCATCAACCACAAACTGCCTCTTGAACATCTTCTTGCACAAATCCAATGCCAATTCATATTCTCCATCATCACATAACTTCGGAACAAGGTAAGAAAATGTAATGCTATTCGGGGTAATACAACTTTCACACAACTTATAGTACAACCTTTTAGCTTCTTCTATATCTCCTTCATCACAATATTTCTTTATGAACACATTAAAAGTACCCACATCCGGTTTTAACCCTTTAGTCTCCAATGATTCAAACAAAGCAACCGCCTTTTCAAGCTCGCCTTCATCAACCAAACCCTGCAACTTCAAATTATAACTTCGAATATCCCGAACCACATCATACTCATCCATAATACCCCAAATCAATTCACCTCCCTCGAAACCCCTCCTATAAAACGCACCAAGAAGCGTATTAAACGTAACCACACTCGGGTTCACACCCTTCGCCTTCATCTCATCAATCATCAACAACCCCTCTTCAAGCTTCCCCACTTCACAAAGAGCATGAATCAAAGTATTATACGAAACAACATCACAACTAATCCCCAAATCAGCCGGAATCCCTTGAAAAAGAGTGAAAACCTCATCAAATCTCTTAGATTCAACCGCAGCCTTCAAAAGGGCATTAAAAGATTTAACAGTTCTAGGACAACCTAGTTCAGGCAATTCGTCGAACAGCTTGTGTGCATGATCAAACATCCCAGCTTTCGCATACAGCGAAATGAGACGAAGCGCGTAGCCTTCGCGGGAAATATCCTCAAAGTGTTTATGTTTATCAAGTACATATTCAACCAAATTATATCGCTCTGCATTGGAAAAACGAGCAATCGTAAAGTCGTAAATGTTGTGACGACTACGGAACTTGGAGGATATACTTGCATTGTGGTTAATCTTTTTCGCAAGCTCGTCGAGGTCGGGTTCCTCGGCGAGCTCCTTGATTGAAATTGGTTTAATGGGAGTGATTGTGGTTGGAGTATTTTGTGGAGAGAGTTTTGGTGTTTTGTGGGTTTTGAGTATCTTGCGAAGACGAGCTGCGGAGTTTGACATTTTTTGGGAGAAAGAATTTGGTTTGGTTTTTGGCGCTAATGTGTGAAAAATGAATGTGGAGTTTGAAATGGGTTATTTATACTTCACCAACTATTTGTTGGGCTGGGCTTATTATGTGTGAAAAATGAATGTTTTGTCTTTACATATTTTTCCTAAATAAATAATTTTTGGATTGTATCTTTTAGTAATTGAGTAATTTTCTTACCAGGGTATAGTTTTATTTGATTCAAATTGATGACAATATGATGAAATGTATATAAGTTTTCCAATGTAATATCAATTTAACTTGGTATGTAATATAATCTAACATAATTAAAAAGATCTTGAAGTATTGTGAATTAAACTGTCCATAGTTGTAATAAAGTATGGTGAACATTATTGACAGAGGTGTCAAAAGTTGAACTGCTACAAAACAATTAACCTAACTTAACGTGATCTGGTCAAAAGTTGGCATTTTCAAGAATTTGATCTGCATCGCCACAATAATTTAGTATTGATCAAATTGAAATAATTTATCCCAATGTAAAACCGACATGTAACCCAAGTTGACCTCTATCTACTATGCAGTATAAGTAGGGGTGTCAGTTCAAATGATCGGATCGGGTCTGATAAGGTCGGGTCAGGTCGGGTCGGGTCAATTTTTAAAGTTGAGTTATACTTAATTATTATATTATGTCCATAAAAGTCTAAATCTGAATCGGATATTTTTCTGGCCGGGTGTGCTTTTGACACCTCTAAATATAAGTATAACATTCAGATTTCATATTCATTTTTTTTTTCTAATTTACAAAAAAATGGCCCTACAATAAGCCACGATCAACCTAACCATCCTTTTCGGATGATAGTGTATATCATAGCTTTTAATGAAAAATCAGATAGTGCATGAAGCATGATAATTTCAAAGCGTGGTAATAACAAAAATTCACTGAAAATTTTGATAAAGTATAACGTATAAAAGTTAAAGTTGCCCTCTACACCAATGCAATTTCATTATCTTTCTTTTTTAAAGCATTTCCACAAGATTTGGTTAACTTTTTCTTTTTTGTTTAAGACTTAAGGTTGTTATAAAAACCTGGAAAAGCCCAGCCCGGCCCGACCCGAATTTTGATCACCTCTATAAAACCCCCCTTGTTACATATTTGCTCCACATAAGCTTACACTATCTTAAGCATTATCATATACTACGTATATCATGGCTCACTCCTTGCTCACTCTTGTGTTTTTCTTGCTCCTCCCAAACTTAGCACAACCACAACTAATCTAGACCGCCAACAACGGAGTAATCCCGGCCTAAAGTCGGTCCATTTCACCGTCTACCTTCACGAAACCTTCAACAAAACTGCCTACATCATAGTCAAAGGTGTAAAGAGTCCAAAACACATGATCCCTAAAGTATCATACCCCTTTGGCTCTATGTTCGCCGTAAATGACCCCCTCACTGAGACACCAAACCCGTCATCTAAACTCTTAGGCTACATGGAGGCATTCGCGGTCACCACAAACTTTGATGGCGAAAGAATGATTTGCACTTGTAGGACTACTTTGAACCTGAAAGGTTACAAAGGTGAGCTATTGAATGTAGGGAGTTGTCACTTTACCCAAGTTACGGAACTTCCTCTTGTTGGAGGTACGGGGGACTTTCGATTTATTCAAGGTTACATGATTATTTCTCCAGTTGATCTTATGAGTCCTACTACTTGTTACAAGGTTGAATTTCAACTGTATTGGCTTCATGCTGCTCTAGTCCATTAATGTACCTTATGGCTCTTCATGTGTATATTTATTTTGAATAAGATGTACTCCTGCGTCCCATAATACATGAGACATTGGAATTTTTTTAATTGCATGACCATAATAAAAATATGTTTATCATAAAATATGTTTTGTTTTGTTTTGTTATTTTAATTTTAATTTTTTTTTTATGGGATATCATAAAATATGTTATTAGATAAGTTTTAATATAAAGTTTTATAATATAATTTTTAAAATAATTTTCATTAATATTTAATTTATAAAAATAAAGTCAAAGTAGTGCATTGACATGTGTACAATGTTTGACCGTGTCAAATAGTATAGGACAAAGAGAGCATATACTATTATGGAGGAACAAAGAAGATCAGAGGCTAGTTAAATAATGATAGTATATTAGTATAGTAATATATTATAGGTGCATAGAGTGCACTTATCAACACGCATGTCACATGCGCCATGTAAATAAGGGATGCTAACAAGCTAATTAAGCACAACGAACTGTTTTTGCAGTGGCTTGTTTCGATCATTCCTTCTTTAAACAATATTTACAAAAAATAAAATAAAATTATAAATTTATTCTATGACTAGTTTTGGTCATACTAAGGAGTCACAAGAAATTAAGAATGATACAAAGAGGACGAGCTTCAAGCCTGGGTCTTATATATGCTCTTTAAATAATTGTTGTCCACTAAAAACCTTATTTTAGCTGAACTAGTTAACGCAACAACATATATCTATATACGAGCACTTCATGATAGAGATTAGATCAATGTACGAGTATGTATTTTGTGTAAATATATCTATATAACGAACTAAATTAGGTTTCCAAACAAAGTTAGGAATGTAATTTTTATATATAAACCTTATTATATATTACAAGTATATATAAATGTAAATTAATTCGACCAAGGAGATTTATACAATCCAAGATGATTATATGTGAAAGTTACGTAGCATATCATTTTTCAATGAACTAAATCATGAATAACCATGCTACTTTCTCGCATTTCCCTAACTTTGTTATATGCTTTATTGAGAGCAAGTTTTAGCAACACTCCGATTTATCATTCAATTTTAGGCAATTTAACTCACTTCTTATTCCATTAGTAATCAATAGTAGAGTATGGAGTATTTTTTGTAAGCTTATTTTTTCTCTTAATAATATCATTAACATCTTATATGATTGATAATAAATTATTTTCCTACATATATACATTCTCATTACGATAATTAATTAATTAAGTAATTAAATTGTTTTTGACTTTATATTGACGTAAAATAAATAATTTAATTTTATTCTATGGCATATATAAGTCAAAAAAAATTTGACTAAGTAAACTATTGTGTCCTAGGAACAATCCATTTGTTATCTCTAGGAAGTCATATAATTTTTCTTTTTTTACCCATCGGTCTTACTTTACTTTTTCCATCTAATTTCTTTTGTGAGAACTTTTTTAATCGAGTGGGTATGTAGAGTAACTTTAATCATGGGATTACAAATTTTAGGGTTCCACCATGAATTGAAAATGATCACTCTCATCCTGGCTATACATAATGGGAACCGTCCTCGCTAAATTAAGGCAGGCTTCCTTGAACTCTTTTGAGAACGGAGATGTAGACGACATGTACTCCTTATTGATACACTTCCATGCATCTGAAATCTTTCGACTAACATGCTTCCTCGCGATATCATATGAGCTTATTTTATGTTCTTTCATGTACCAATCTACGTAGGAACCATCTTCACCATTTGGAGTCTTATCCTACAAAAATCATATTTCGAAAAGTTGTTACATGTATATACTTAGGGTCTGTTCTCATTGACTGAATTGAGCTGAACTGAACTGAACTTATTAGAGCTGAACTGAACTGAAATGAATATTTTTATAAGAGAAGGAAATTAGGAGTTGAACTGAACATAACTTATTAGAGCTGAACTGAACTGAACTTATTAGAGATGAACTGAACTGAACTTATTAGAGCTGAACTGAACTGAACCAAAAATAATCGTATGAGAACAGACCCTTAGTAATAATTAAAAGTATGTTAGGAACTTACAATATACAAGTATGTGTCAATTAAAAGATAAACAAGGGACGAAAAAACCAGGTAGGATTTTTTATCGTGTTTAAAAAAGGGCAAAGCAAGAAACTAGTGTGCATACCATATGGTTCCCTACATCATTCCACAGGCGAAGAATGGTGGCTGTAGAAGATATAATTGAAGGAAGGCTACTCAACTCTTTCAAACTCTTCTTGTTGATTTCTTTGCCTAGAAGGAAAAATGCGTGTGCCATAACTACATGGGTTCCCGAACTAACTATCCCGTTGTTTAGATACTCCTTAGGGTTAGGTGAGTACTTGTTAACACTCCATTTCAACTCAATAAAGAATGCGTTGCATTGCTCTGTCCACTGCATCATTAATTAATATAGACTTAATAGCGTAGTTTGAAATAATAACTTGACAATTAAATCTGAATATAACAATCTATCATCCTATTAATCTCTTCAAAAAAGTGCATGAATTGTACCAATTTTCTTAAGAATTGTTCTGGATTCCATCCATGCTTTGTTTGAATTTTGGAGCTAAAATCATTTGTGGTTTCTAGAAGAGCCTTGAAGCAAACTTTCATGCAATTGGGTAATTGTGTAACATCAGCGGTTTCCCATCTGTAATAATGTAATATTAACATATAGTAAATAGTATGATCAACATACAATAATGTACATACAACAATAACTAACAATAATGTCGTATTATATGTTGAAGAAAGTTTAATTGTTGCAAAATAAGTTCATGATATGCGAAATATGTTCCATTTCAAATTAGTACATTAGGTTTAATTATTTAGATCTGGATTCAGTCAAAATTGGATCACCTAGCTTAAGATAGGTAAAGTTATAAGTTGTATTTAATTATTCAAGTCGAGTCAGTTTTACATTCATGCATATAAAGCGTACCTCTTAATGGCTTCTGTGAATAAATAGAGCTCATCGTACGTTCCATAACCATCAAATATGTCATCAATCATGTAGCTAAATGATATTGCTTTCATAATCTCTAATCTCTCTTCGGACATATCGAGCCCAGGAAGAATTCCCATTGACCACATATACCACTTTAATGGCTCAATTCTTGCAAATTGCAATTCCTCCAAATTAAGCTCGTTTACCCATCTAGCAAAATCCACAATTTGTTCTGTAATTAGATAAACATGGTAAATCACTAAAAAAAATTACTTTACTTTTTTGGCAAATAAATGAAAATCTTAATCTAGTACTACACATACCCTAGCCTTTCACTGATCTAAAAGTTTTTCTTATTTAGACATTGATTGTCTCGCTGGAGAAAAAAAAAGTCAAAATAGAAAGAAGGAATCTTATTAAGGGATGGAGGGAGTATTACTATATGATATAAATCATATACCTCGAAACTTGGGTTAGTTCCAATTGTTGTGATATTTGAGCCAAGTTGATGTCGATTCTTGCTAGATCGTGTACCTCATTTATCCAATCGTTGATATGATTGAAATCGTGGAGAAACATTAGGGATGATTTGAAACAAGGAAGAAACTTTTTGGCCATTAGTCTTGGCAAGCTTTTATGATATGGATAACGAAGTGTGTTTCCTATTACCAAACCCTCAAATTGTTCAATATTCTTCAACAACGAGGCCTTCAATAGTTTGCGACTAAATTTATTTGCATCATCAAGAACATAGTCACTTCTAGTTCTAAATTGAGACGCTTCAAATAGGCTCATCAACCCATTTATGTCTTTTGCAAGTTCTTGATTGAAATTCCCATTTTTGTCCTTGAATTTTGCCAAAGCATCTACATTGGGGATTAAAAAATGGATAAGACTAGCTACCGATCTAATTTGGTACGTTATATGTTTGATTTGTACGCAACATATACAAAGAACAAAATATAGGACATGGATTTAAGAAATTAAAGTAAAGAGATGAACAAAATGTAGGAAGCTTTGCTTGTTGATTCGTACTAAGTTGACCTATGCGACATGGAAGGATCTTCATTGAGGTTTATAAGGGTCTGTCACCCGTAAATTTTTTTTATAAAAAAAAAACTAGGCATAAATAGAGATGTAAAGCTACCATACAAAAGGTTGTCACAGTAGTTTTTTATTCAATATACTTTAACCTAAAAGTTAAAAGTTCAAACCTCGATCTTTTGTACTTTTTGGTCTAAAATCCTCCATTACATCAAGGATTTAAGTCGTTGTAATCTTTTTTTACCTAATCTCAAAGTATAAATAAAAATTAAAAATGAAATACCTGAAGATACATGGTATCCATGTTGTCTCAACAGGCGAAAGTGAAGAGCTAGATCATGAAGATTATCAGTACCTTCTTCGATTGTACTATGATATAAATTATAATGCTTTTCTAAAGCAGCACTGATTTCATCTCGAAAATAATATTCAAGACCTATTCGTTGTATAGCATCAATTATAACCAATTCTTCTATATTACCATATTTTTTGCTTGCCATTATTTTCTTAATCTTTTTCACCAACTCTTCAAGCTGATTTTCATCCTGAAAAAAGAAGAAAATTTGATTATTTGACTATATATGTTATAAACACTAGGCAAAAATTATTCCATCTTCTGTAGAATGTATTGCCCTAATAGATAAGCAAAAACAATAATGTTGCAAGTGTACTACATGCACTACATACATAGCTTGAAGCCTAGAAATTGAAGAAAAAAATCATCCATTTGTTCTTTTTTATTTGAAATCTTCAGTTTGAGAAAAAAAAAATTGTAATGAGAATAAATAGTTTTTTTTTTTTTTTTTTTTAATATATAAGAAAAAACATATTCACATAGGATTCTCAATATCCAATATATATTTTTTCAAATGTGTTGTACCAATTATGTCTTGATGAAATATAAAATGTGCAATGTGTGTATAAAATTGTGTAAAAAACACAAATGAAACAAACAGACAAAGGAAGCACTAAACATGCGCTAAATAAATTAAGACTCAACTGATGTAGAAGAGATTTGATCGTCGACGAAGGTGATATCCTTTGAAATGGCATGCACAATACAATGAAAATCTTTAAATCCCTTATTTTCTATATTACCAATATTTCTCTTTGAATTATAAGTAGAGATGACAACAGAAGTATCCATGGCTATTCGAGTTTCCTTCTTTGTGAGGAACGGCGACACAGGAAACACGTTGAGGGGAAGGGCACCATAAGCAACCATAGTGTGGAGTTTTATTCTTTCTTTGTAATCCAACTATGGTATTTAAGCTGATAATTCATAAGCCTGGCCAAGTTCCTCTATCTTTTGTGGTTGGAAAGCTAATTGATCGTACTTAATGATAGCAAACTAAATAGACTTAAGTTTTCTAATATCTCATGGAAAATGATTTTGCCAATTTTGGCAATACAAAGGTAATTAACTACAGCCACGTACAGTACAGTTTGATTGTGGTAACTTATGAATTAACTGGTCGGATAATAAAAACCGGTAACCTGAAAGAATAAATATAATAGTTAATCAATTAAAATGAGTTTCATGTCATATTCTATATACTATGTTAATTTTTATTTTATTTATTTTTTATTTTTATTTTTTTTTGTATTTTGAGGAAAATGTATATTCATTAAAATAAAAACTGTTGAAATCATCAATACTAGAGTATGAGTAAAAATTAAATAACTTTATATATATAAATATATATATATATATATATATATATATATATATATATAAATTGACTGATGAAGTGAGTATTAATTAATCAGTATTATTATTAATTTACTACTTTATAATACTAAAATTTTACATTGAATAATTAGTAGAGATGATAGAAGAAGTACCCATACATGTCTAATTTGTTGTAAAGCTAGGCAAATAAACTCAAGTGTTTTGTAGAGAGAAGTGTTCTACTGTACATAATTTTTGTGATATTTCTCATTAATGCAAATAGCAATTAAATACAATTATGTTACAAACTTCTAACTACTAAATAATCCTAATTATTAGGAAATTAATATATGTCATTAAGGCACTAACTATTAGAAGTCGGTTAGTTATCTCTGTATATGTTAATATTTTATTTATGCCAGGTTTATCTAGTAAGGACTTTTAGGCATGTTAGGTTTCCTTTTAATTTGTATTGTGTATACATATTGTTGATTTGTTGTTATAAGCAATGTAAGGGATAAGCCATTTTCTCCAATTGTTCTTGAGTTTATCATGGTATCACTATTTTCTAGAGAATTTTTCGATCCTAGTTTGTTCTTCCGCTTTGTTTTCTATTTTGCAAATTTGTGAGATTAGGGCTTTAAAATTCTTAGATTAGGAGTTTTAGGCATGTTAGGTTTCCTTTTTTATTGTTTATATATATTGTCGTTATAATCGATGCAAGGGCTAAGCTATTTTCTCCAATTATTCTTGAGCTTATCACTAACAACTTACCACTTTAGTTCATATATTTTGAGCAATATTTGTTGTTTACATCCGATTTACAATAGGGGCATGTTCAGATTTATTGAACTAAGTTGAATTGAAATGAACCGAATTGTTTATATATGAGAGAAAGAAATTAGGAACTGAATTGAACTGATTTGAGCTGAACTGATTGAACTGAATTGAATGAAAGTGAAATTAAGCTGAAGAGAAAGAGCTTTAACTAGCTTTTGGACCCGTTCTACACACGGTTTGTGCTTAAATATTAGTTTTATTTAAAACTACGTACTTTACAAATTACTTGAAAAATCATTTCGTCGTGTTTTGATGTGTTATAAGATTTTATGAATTAGTAGTAACAGTTGTAAAATATGGCTTAAAATTGTAAAATCAAATCTCTACCCTTGTTATAATTTTACATTTTTCCATGCATCAAACAAGCCAAAGAGCTAGTTATTATAGATGAAATAACTTACCAGCAATTGTATGATATCCATTTTGTCTCAGTAAATAAAATCTATGAATACCATCTTCCAATTCATAATATTTTGCAGGTTGCTTTTGTTGTAATTATTCCTTCATGCTAATAACGTAGATCCTTGCTTTGCTTGTCATTCCCGTAATCTTTTGCTGTGGGATCCGATTTTCGATAAATAACATGACCAATATTCGTAATTATTAAACTTTTACACGTTAATTATGGTTGTTATGAATTATGATATAAAGAGATTGTATTCCTTTTTCTTTTTTTTTTTGGAGTTGGATATACTTTATTTTCATAGAATAAAACAAATTCAACCATATATGTCATACTAGATGAAGCCCGTGCGATGCACGATTTGTTAGTATTTTTTTTAAGAAAATATTTTTCATATTTATCTTGTTAAAATTGTTATTATATTAGTTTTAAAATATTAGAATAAAATTCCTAATCTCAAAAGATAATATTTTGTATTTAATTAATTTAAACTTTAAAATCTCATTCGTCAATTTTGCTTACGTGACATTTGAATTATTTAATTGTAAAAGAAATTAATAATCTCTTATTTAATTGATTACAACTTAAATTTACAATCCTACGTGGCACGCTAAGAAAATTAAATCCTACGTGGCTCTCTAAAAACTCGGGGAAAAACTCCCCTTTATATATATACTAGTTTTGTGCCCCGTGCGATGTCCGAGTTGTTTATGAAGTCGATTTAAATCTATCCAACGTGGCGCGACACTCAAATTTTATTTTATTGAAAATAAAACTTTAAATTAACAATTTTATCATAAAATTCTATCCAAATTTGATTCAAAATAGAATTTTAAACAAACTTTTTTATCTTATGAAGTGTATTTAAATCTATCCAACATGGCGCGACAATTGGAGAAAAGTTAGAATGCCAAGTGTCGCTGTCTCGTGACCTGGCTAAAAGTTTAGCTTTATATATATATATATATATATATATATATATATATTATATATATATTATATATATATATTAGATAGATTGTCATATCACCTCCATTTAGAGTGATGATGTAGCAATTTATTGTAGCCGCGAGAATGATAGATTTTGTTTTGATTTATAAGATTGTATAGTAAGATAAATAATTGTTGCAATCTCAGATAATTCTTAACCAACGATCCGAACCAATTTCATGATACTCAATATTATCTTTAGATTAAACTCACAAAAGCTAATTAAAAAATCTCACAGTAGAAACTCATTATATTATTTATATACTACATCCTATATTATATTAAAGTAGATATTTTTTTTTTGTTGTTGCAAGATTTATTTTAATAATTTATCTACAAACTTCATTATTTATGGTTGACTATTAGCTTACATTCGATATTAATTTTAAAAATCGAGCATGCTCAGTCATTATCTCGAAAAATTATATTCTATAATTTTTTAAATACAAAAGTACAACACAAGCTTATATAATAAGTGAAAGGGTTGATCTTTCAAAAAAAAAAAAAAAAGTGAAAGGGTTGACAAAATAGCCTAGAAAATTTGGCTATTTCTGGGCTAGAAAATCATGAGCTTAAAATTGTAGAAAGATTATTGACTTGTTTAGTGGATTTGGAGGAGGGAATTAATATACTACCTCCATTTCAAATTATCTGCAACAATTTGATATTAAGAAAAAAGACTTTTTTTTGAAAAACTACCCTATATACATAATTTTTTGTGAAAAACTACCTTATAAAAAAAAATTGTAAGAAACAACCTTATAAAAGCTTCACATGCTTTAAGTCACGTGCTTTACACGTGGTTTTTTTTTTTGGCAGAAAATAAAAAAGTCATCGCCGGAAAATGGTCTATGGACCCTCCTCACAACCAAAACATAATATAAGAACCTTTTGTGCCACCTTTTTTATAAAAAGACATTTGTCACAAAAAGGTCTACTTAAAAGACCTTCTTCACAAATTTTTCTACTCTAAGATAAAATGCAAAATTTCTAACTGCATATAGTTTTATTATTTTAACATAAAGAATAATTTAATTAAATTATGAAGAATAGTGATACTTAACTTTATTTGAAGTGTGAATTCCACTGAAAAAATTCTCCCTTAAAGAAGTAGGAATGTAATGTGGAATACTTTTAATCTTTTATACATCTTGTGAGTAAGATTTTGCATAAATCTAGCATTTGAAACAATAGCAACAACATTATTATTCATCTCTAATATTTTAATTCTTGTTTTTGGAATGGCTCTGGATATGAACATGGCTGATTTAATTAGAGCTGTAAAAATGGCAGTTGGATGTCTTTGTTTTGATTTTTTCCTATGAGATATTTATATTTTGAGGTGCTTATATATGTTGTTGACAACGAGCAAAGGAATATGCTAAGCCAGATACATTATAATAGTCCATCACCATTCATAATAATTTTTCACAAACTAATAGTCACCACACAACAAAAATCTACGTTATTTACCACATGCAACAAATTAATAAAGAGCCGGGGAGAGGGCCAGGCCTTCACCAGCCCCAAACACTGTATTCCTTTATTTTGATTTAAAGATTTATCATTTCCTCTTCTCAATTTCTTAACACTAATATTCAAATGTACTCTTTATTGAGAAATTTCCTAAAATATTCAAACTGTATTTTATTTAAGAATTCTCCTTCCAATAAATTCATGACAAAATTAAAAAGGTTCATAGTATATACAAGTTCTATGCTATAATTTTTTTATATATTAAAACCATGCATCGCACGGCGATAATCTAGTATATAATACAAAAATGTAAGCTTTTCACAATATAAAAATAATAACACTTAAAAAAATACAGAGAAATAAGTATAATAATTTAACAGTTTTTTGTTTTTTCAACTTTCAATCACAAGCTTTGAAACTTAAGAAATTCAAAATCCAAGCACACTTATCACGCTGCCCGAGTTACCCCTGTAAGGTTGTAACACTAATGAATTAGCCTCAACCACATATAAAAGTTGATGTTTTGAAAATTAATTATCATAATTTTCGTTTTTTTTTATTGTTTGTTTTTTGGACTTTACACTGACGCAAGCTTAGTCGAATAATTTTTATTCCATGACATATATAAGTCAAATTGTTTGTTTTTGAGTTTACGTAACGTGTACTAGGATCAATCCATTTGCTATCTCTATGAAGTCCTATTCATTAATATTTTCTCGGCCTTAATTTACTTTTCCCATCTTTTTTTTTAATCATGCGACACTAATTTTTTGGTTCCACAATGAATTAATGAAGATGATGACTCTCATCCTGGCTATACATAATGGTAACCATCCTAGCTAAATTAAGGCAGGCTGCCTTGAAGTCATTTGAGAACGGAGATGTAGACGACATGTACTCCTTATTTAGACACTTCCATGCATCTGAAATCTTTTGATTAACATGTTGCCTCGCGATATCATATGACCTTATTTTATGCTCTTTCATATACCAATCTACATAGGAACTGTCTTCTCCATTTGGACTCTTATCCTGCAAAACATATATAAATTAAATTTGCATTAATTTGATCTCAAATATACGAGCAAATTTTTTTATTTTTTTCTGTTATGTAAAAGATTGTAGTATAAAACATATTACTAGGCCTCAACCATCAACTTAACCTTTTGGTTGAGTTGGTCCTCTAACATAGTATCAGAGCCAGCGTGACACAAAAGTCATGGGTTCAGATCTCATCCGCCCCTCCTTTAAAGTGGAGTGTGAGAGGGAGCGATAGAGTATAAAACATATTTATCATGTTAAGAAAGGGCAAAGCAAGAAACTAGTGTGCATACCGTATGGTCACCTACATCATTCCATAGGCGAAGAATGATGGACGTGGAAGATATAATTGAAGGAAGGCTAATTAACTCCTCAATACTCTTCTTGTTGATTTTTTTGCCCAAAAGAAAAAATGCGTGTGCCAAAACTATATGGGTTCCACAAGTAACTATACCGTTGTTTAGATACTCTTCAGAGTTAGGTGAGTAATTGTCAACTCTCCATTTCAACTCAATAAAGTGTGCGTTGCACTGCTTTGCCCACTGCATCATCAATATCGAGTTAATAGTGTAGTTTGAACTAATAAATTGACAAATAAATATATAAATATGATAATAAATTGACAAATATAAATATATAAATATGTCAATCGTCCTATTAATTTGTTCAAAAATATGCATGTATAAAGCATAGTTATAAATAAATAATATGGGGCACATTGTCACGTTTATAATATAATGATTAATGAGCTAGTAAGGTGACTATACGGTCAGGGATGGGGATTATTCCTCAACCGTCCATTGATAGATAATATAGAGTAGTTAATAAGATGAATTCATATATGTTTGGGTCCAATTTATCTAATTGGGCCTAGTCATTTATTTGGGTCCAATTATCTTATTGGGCCCGGTCACTAAATGATTCAATATTCCAAGGTCAAGGCCCGAGCCTCCAATCAAGCCAAGTCAGCAAGAGTCCTTTGGTCCGAATTGCCATGGTCAGCCCATGACTATTTAAGGGCCCAATTAATCTCCTCTCATCATGTGCAAAGGTATAAAAGTCTTCAATTCATTCATTTATACAACACAACAAAGCCTCAAGCATAAAATCTCTTGCATAGCTTTCTCTCTAAACACTATTTGACTTCGGCATTGAAGGGGTCTTCCTCGGATCCACCCCCGAGGCCAGTTTACGTGTTTTAGTTGTGCAGGAAACCTTCGGCCCAGCATCAAGCGGATCGAACCAGTCTTCATCCACTTCAGTGGGCCTTCGGCAAGGCCCCATTGTTTTCATCCGAAACAATTTGGCGTCGTCTGTGGGGAAAATTTTCAAAAATCTATAAGCCAAATCTTTAATCAAAATCATCTTGCAATCATCTTGGTAGCAATGGCTAAGAAACGCAAGAGCAAAAGCCTCCGTCAAGGAGCGGGCGAAAGGCCTAAGACTCCTACACCATCACCCACACCGGACCGGAACTCTCCCAAGGGTGCCAGTTCGGGGGGAGGATCATACCGGGAGGACTTTCTTTCTCCCGTAATTCACAACTCTCATCATAGACCGAGTCCCTCTCGGTCTAACAGAAGTCAGTCCGATCATAGGACTCGTTCAGTGCCCCAAAGCCAACCATCGACCATCCGCTCTCATTCCCACACTCAGCCGAGGACCCCTTTGACGGGGCCCAACTCGGAGGAGGTGGCGAGAGCGCTGGCAGTGCTCATGGAGGCAATGAGGGCACAAAATATACCTCCACCTCGTGATCGAACTCCTCCGCACACCAGGCATCAGCGGATGAAGCTAGACCACGAGGGGGAGAAACCTCCCTCCTTCCGGGAGCTGGAAAAGTGGGAAGAGGATACCTGGAGAACTGAAAGAGAGAGGAAAAAGAACCCTCAATTTTTCAGAGGATCCTCAACCTCTCAGCCAGAAACGCATAAGAACAGCAACTCAGCTTCTCGGCCAGAATCTGCTCACCGAGAGCAACCTGAGACTGTTCCCCGAAGCGTACTCGACCGACTCGGCGGCAGGGAGCCGAGCGTGCACAGTCGCCTCTCGTTCCCTGTAGCCGAGGCCCAGACTTCCCAGCCAGGGACGAAAACCACTCCTACCTCTCTAAGAGGGCGGAGCGCGGTCCCTTCGGCCAGGAATAAAGACAAGGCCGTTATGCTACCTACCAGTTCCCCATTCGAGCAATGGATACTGGAAGAGCATGTGCCCACGGTCAAAATACCGTCGCACATCACCTATGATGGGACTTCGGATCCGAAGGACTATATTGCCTCCTATGAGGGGCATATGCATCTCTGCCCAAGGTCCGAAGCGACCTAGTGCAAATACTTTCCCACCACTCTCAAGGGGGTCGCGCAAGCGTGGATCTCCAAGGGAGTAAAGGAAGGCTCTATAACGGGGTGGGACGACCTGTCCACCAAGTTTAAGAGCAAATTCTCCACGGCAAACCGCCGAGAGAAAACCACTGCTGAGCTCATGGGCCTGTAGCAAGGGGAGACCGAAAGTCTCCGGCACTACCTGACCCGTTTCAGCAACGAGTCATCCAGCGTCTCTCAGCTGGACCAAGGGCTAGCTGTTTTTGCAATGCAGAATGGCCTTCAGCCCGGGAAGTTCTTGGACTTCATGGTCATGCACACCCCGTAGACCTTGGAGGAAGCTTTGAATGCCTCGGAAAAATTCATCCGAGCTGAGGAGTGGAATAAAACAAAAGCCCAACCCCAATCTGGGAATGGGAAACAAAAACAACCGTCTGAAGGCCAAGGCCAGAAGACGAAGGGAAAGGCGAAAGCCTCGGAACAATCTTCGGCCAACGAGCCGAAGAAGGAAAAATCTGCCCCATTCACTGGCAGATACGAGTCCTACACTCCGCTATCTTTTCCACGCGCCAAAATTTACAGCGTGAGAAAGGAAGAGCAGAGTTACCGAAAGCCGACCACTCCCATAGTGGTATCAGCGAAAAAATAAAAATCAGTGGTGCGAGTTCCACGAATCTCCGGGACATAACACCGAGGAGTGTATCCAGCTGAAGGACCAGATCGAGGACATGGTCTGGAAGGGATACTTGAAAAAATACATCGCGGATCACCGCGAGAAAAAGGAGGCCGAGAAGTCAGCAAAGGACTCTCGGCAAGACCTCGACTTCCCCCGAAAGAACAGTAAAAATGCGGATGGAAAATTCTCTCCGATCAATGTTATCTCGGGAGGAATATGCTCTCGGAGGGAACACAAGCGATACCTTAGGGCTCTGACCCACCAGGTGAACAACGCTGACACTCAGCCTCCCCAGTCGCCGGTGCCGAACATGACGTTCACAGCCGCCGACTGCCGGGGGGTAACATTCCCTCATGAGGACCCGCTGGTGATCATCGCCACGGTGGCCAACCACGACGTCAGCAAGGTCCTTGTTGATGGTGGCAGCGGAGCAAACATTCTGTTCCGAAAGGCCTACAATCAAATTAAGCTGAAGCCCAAGCACCTTACGCCGGTACCCTACCCGGTATCCGGGTTCAACGGGGCTTCAACTTATCCAGATGGGAAGGTGACGCTTCCTGTCACCATCGGCTGCGACGAGGCAGCCAGGAATGTCATGACTGAATTTTTGGTCATTGACGCTCCTTCAGTGTACAACGTGATTTTGGGGAGACCCATAATTCACGAGATTCAAGGGGTCGTCTCAACCTATCATCAGCTGATGATTTACGTCTCAGACGCCGGCTTCCCCGAAAGGATCCAGGGCAACCAAAAGGACGCCCGAAGGTGCAACTACCTCAAGCCATCCACTACTCGCCCAGATGACGACGACAAGGATGAGGAGGAGAAAGAAAAAGAAAGAGAGCCCAACACAAAAAGCCGAAAGGCCTAAGTGCTTCGGCCCAAGGTTCTGTGCCCGGAGAAAAAGGGCCAGAAAGGGAAAAGGCTAGCTCTTCATCTGAGCCGAAAGACTCAGAGAGCCAGCCGAAGAACAAAAAGTCTGGGACGCCTGCTGACATAGACAGCAGGCCAGATTGTGAAGAGTCCAGTCCATCAGCAATGGACATGGACTAGCAGACTGAAACGGTCGAGTTGACCAAAGGAGACGCTGAGAAATGTGTAACAATCGGGATGGATCTTGATCCGAACACCCGTTGTGAACTTATTCAACTCCTTCAGGACAACAGAGATGTGTTTGCTTTCTCGGCAGCTAATATGCCCGGGATAAGTCCAGACCTCATCTCCCATAAGCTTAATGTTGACCCAACGTGTCGACCAATTAAGCAAAAGAAGCGGAATTACTCCGCTAATAAGAACCGAGACATCGCAACCGAGGTCAAAAAGTTGCTGGACGCAGGTTTCATCGAGCCTTGTCAATATCCAGAATGGCTGGCAAATGTGGTGATGGTTCAGAAGGCCAATGGTACCTGGAGAATGTGCGTTGACTTCACGGACCTAAAAAAGGCTTGTCCGAAGGATTTCTATCCCTTACCGAGGATCGATCAGCTAGTCGACTCGACGAGTGGCCATGCCTTGCTTAGTTTCATGGACGCATTCTCGGGATATCATCAGATCTTCATGCACCCTGACGATCGAGCAAAGACGACATTCGTCACGAACGCCGGGGTGTACAATTATAAAATGATGCCCTTCGGATTGAAAAATGCGGGGGCAACCTATCAAAGGCTGGTGGATCAAGTTTTTTCCGATCAAAAAGGACGAAACATGGAAGTCTATGTTGATGATTCAATCGTCAAAAGCAAAAAATCTGAGGACCATGTTAAGGACCTGGCTGAAACCTTCGCCACCTTAAGAAAGCACCAGATGAAGCTGAATCCGAAGAAGTGTGTCTTCGGCGTGAAGTCAGGGAAATTCCTTGGGTTCATGGTCAGCAAGAGGGGTATTGATGCCAATCCCTCTAAAGTCAAAGCAGCGCTTGACCTTCCTGAGCCGAAAACAAAGCGGGATGTTCAGCGACTCACCGGAAGAATGGAAACCCTCTCGAGGTTCATTTCCAGAGCTTCGGATAAGGGGTTACCTTTCTTCAAAGCCCTGAAACTCCCGAAAACAAAAGAGCTCGTTTGGGAAGAAGAGAAAAAAGAAGCCTTCAAGCAGCTTCGGGAGCATCTAGCTCAACTCCCAACGTTGGCTAGCCCAGCAGAGGGAGAAACTTTGTATCTGTACGTGGCTGTTAGCCCAGCCACCATCAGTGCAGTGCTGCTGAAGGAAGAAAACAAAATTCAGCAACCGATCTATTTCGTCAGTCATACTCTGACGGATGGCGAGACTCGCTACCCTCTACTCGAGAAAGTCGCATTTGCAGTAGTGGTAGCTGCTCGGAAGCTGAGGCCCTATTTTGATTGCCATCAGATAGTGGTCTTAACTGATCAGCCGCTGGAAAAAGTTCTCGGCAAAGTAGAAAAATCTGGTAGGCTGGCCAAGTGGGCTTTTGAGCTCACCGAATTCAGCATCAGCAACCAACCGAGAGTTGCCATCAAGGCTCAAGCTCTAGCGGACTTCTTGGCCGAATGGTCGTACCAAGAGACGCTAGACGATAAAAAGAAAA